CCACCCAAGTACCATCATCTGTGCCAAAAGTGAAGAAAACTTGCTGGAATCATGCACCTCGTAGGACTCCTTTGCTCTGCTTTAGGGATCCTTTCTGAACCTTGGGAGTAATCTCTCAGACTATTGGAGATGGCAGTTTGGTGGCCACCAACCAGACGTCACTGGACCTCAGGAAAATAGGGAATTGTGCTTTGTCCATTAAAGATGAAGGGAGACTTTTTTTTTATGCCAAGTAAGTTATATGACAACAATGACAAATTGAGGAAGAAATGAGGGTGATAAACACCTTTAGAATTTTAATGTGGTTCATCACTTAAAACCCTCCATGAAGGTCAAATTGGAGGGTGAATCATCTTGGTCTGATCCACAGGGGTCATCTACTGTTTCACAACAATCACAACAACAAATCAGCACCTACCATGTGTAAAGTGGGTGTGTGTTTATATATATATATATATATATATATATATATATATATATATATATCCATATCAATTTCTGGTTTTCAAAATATTAGCATTAATGTTTTAAAAAGAGTATTTCAGATACTCCTTAATACTATCTTATTGCAAATTCAACAGTGTGATATTGAGGCAAAAGGAACTTTTCAACAAATATAGCCACAGATGTGTTTGTGCTAAAGTCAATTTTAAAGAATTTAACAAGAGAAGCAAGTGAAGCAAATTTCTCATAATATGCCTAGATGAAAATAACTAAATTGATCTATTTAATTATTTGGGCCAGCCAGGAGATATAAATAAGGACAAAATATGGAGAACACACTGAGTATATAAAATACATAATTAATATGAGGTCAAAACAGGGCTCGCTAGCCTTTTCACAGTTCCACATATTTTAAACCTTTTCATTAATTTTTGAATGAGAATTAGGTGAGCTGCTGTCTAAAGTTACGTGTTTTGTTGCAGTTTTACGGTCAAAGTCATATTGCAACATGCATTTCCCTTTAAAATCTTGATTACTTCTCAAAATACCTTTTTGGGTTTAATCGTACTTTAAAATCGGTTTACTAGCCCCTTTACTACTTGGGTGTTCTGGTAATTTTTTCACCCAATAGTTATAAGCACTTTAGAGTGACATTCAGGAGGTGAAACTATAAACACACAAGGAAACTGAAGGCAGAGTTACCCTAATATATATCGGGAATTATGGGACATTTGAGGACGAAGAATAAGCATAGGATAGGAGAAGGGAAAGGTGGGACAATGGCAAAAAATATGTCAGAGTTATGACAAGATTTATACACATAAGATGTATAAATAAAAAAAGATGTATAAATATCCTAATGGATGTAACATTCCCATTATTCAAATATCCTTTCTTCCACAGTTATACATTAAACTTTATCCCCTAAATTATGCCTGTGAATCTCACTTTGCTTGAAAATGCTGTAATCTGTGTTATGTTAATAATATCACTCAAGTACGGTGGGTTCTAATAACTTTGGAGCTGTAATAAGAGTAGACATGCATCTGCATAGGGCATGGTAGATGCCATGCAATGATCCCTTCTAAGTCAAAGAACCAAGAAACACCTAGGTGCACCTACAAGAAGGGGAAACACACAGAAGAGACCCTGCTTTAGACCGCCAGCATCCAATTTCTGCACACAACTTGGTGTTTCTGTTATAGCAGAACGAGGGAACAGATGCTCCTCGCTGGATTTCTAACCTTCACAAAAGTTTCAAGGCTCCAAAAACGAAAACAACAAAAACACCGCAATGGAGTATTTTTGTTTGTTTGTCTGCATGTGGAAACCGAAGACCAAGGCCAGGCTTCACGTCTGTTCTTCGGACAGAGTGGAGTTGCAGAAGGGAGAAGAGAAATGCGCCACTATAGACACTCTCCAGACACTCACCCTACACGACAGTCTGCATGAGATTTTCTACGTGACTGGAGATCAGTGGCTAGCTCAGAGTTGGGCAGTTCGAACCCACTCAGTGGCTCTACAGAAAACAGGTCAGGTGAATTCCATCAGTAAATACTACAGCCAAGAGAATACTGTGGGGCATTTCTGTTCTGTCCTGCACGAAGCTGCCACGAGTCAGTGTGCACTTCACTGGCAGCAGACAGAAGGCTGTGGCCTCGGGCAAGAGTGGACCCCAGAGACAGTCTGTAAGAGGTCCTGTATCCCTTATTGAAGATTCATACGAAAACACCAGTTTTGAGAGGTAGAAGAGGAGGAGAGAAAACAATACTATTGTACGCATAGGGAGCCCTGGTGACAGAGTGGTTATGCATTGGGTGGTGAGCCGCAAGGTCTGTACTTCCAAACCGCCAGTCGCTCTAAAGTTTACTGGGCTTTCTACGCGTGCAAACCAGCATAGCCTTGGAAACCCACAGGGGCACGTCTACCCGGTCCTCTAGGGTTGACAGGAATCGGTACTGACTGGATAGTGGTGAGCTTTAAAAAAATGTTGATTGTACACATAGTCTTGCTGCCATAGTAATAACAAACAACATCTATGAGTATATTGCATAGGTGGACATGCTGGCTGAATAGGTGTGGCAAGGTAAATGGGGGCATATCAATGAGTTTATGTTCGGCAGAGGGTATGTCTACATATATATGTATATATAATAAGTATACCCAAGAATACACACACACACATGGAAAATACCAGACTTACTATGGTCCTTACACACTCCTCAAGCCTAGAACTGAACCCAGCCCCTGGGATCAACTTACAACCAAACATTAGACAGGTCTATGGAGTAAGTAATAACGTCAGGGCCACATGTCCACCTCACTACTATCACACACAGGACCCAAAGCCAGTCTGGCCCCCAAACAAAGGGCCAACTCCAAACAGGCCTGCTATGAGTCAAATTTGATTCCATAGCATCAGGGTTGTCTATTTCATTTCTGTATTTTTTGTACAAGTTAGCGATACAGGCTACTCTCAGTAGCAGCTGGATCTTCTACCGGAATAAATGGACATTTCTGAGGACGGCACAGGACCAGGCTGTGTTTCGTTCTGTTGTAAAAAGGGTCGCTTGAGTCTGAACCAACTCGACGGCACTTAACAACGACAACAGCACGGAGACCTTTTAAAGGACTAAAGGAAATGCTCTCTAAAAATAAAGTGCTAGCATCGGCTAGAGAAAGAATGCATACTGGTATTTTCTTTGTTACTTGCCATTTTCAATGGAGAGGCACCTACATCCATAGATGGTAGTCTCATACTATGGAACGGGGCTTATGTATTGACTCTACCTGATGAACTCCGACAACATTGAATAAACATATAATCTGCATTTTCCTTTCTATATTGCTAATAATTAAGATGACTAACATTTCTGTACAATCAATGGTTTCTTATACTGCTGGGGGTGGGAGGGAAATGAACGCTGCAATATCTAGAACAAATATCCAGCAATCAGAGCAAGGCTTTGGTTTTTAGACAACACTAGGCATGCTCTGGCTTGCCTTCCAGCAATCACTCGTTAAATCATTTGTCCTTCTGACACATGTAATGAAGTCATGCTCCTGATCAGCCTAATTTCAAGATGCAGCACAACCCAGATTTTGATAGGAAAGCAGTTTGTGTAAACTGAAACATGCAGCAAATATATAATTTCATGAAATAGTCGTCACATTTTCACTGTGAGAAGTCTTGGCTAGATTCCTATTACACTAATTGAGTCACTTCAGGATATATGAAGCATTCTATTGGCAGAGCAGGTCGTGAGGTGAGCTGCTAAGTGAAGGTCAGCGGTTTGAGCCTCCTAGCCACTCTACAGGAGAAAGAGGAGGCGTTCTGCTTCCCTAAAGACTCACGGTGTCAGAAACCTTATCTTGTGTCCCTGTGAGTCAGAATTGACTTGGAGGCAGTAGGTTGTGGCAGACACAGTACACTAGGCAATTTTAGGCATTGGTTAACCACAATATAAAAGATTAATTGGAAGCAAATCCATGCCAAGCAAGCAGAATAATAAACCATTAAAAACAGAAAACTCTGGAAACCCTTAAAATCTGGAGCAATCAATACAGCTCTAGCTAAATGTTCAATGTCACTAAAACTAAGCCTACATATAATTAAATAAAACTAAATAAAGAAACTGGATTGAAACAAACAATCATATCAATGTGAATGAGGTAGGGGGGTGGAGGGTGGTGGTGTGAAGACCCCAAACCCATCTGTAGACAATTGGACACCCCCTCACAAAAGGGTCACAAAGAAGGGACGAGGCAGCTAGGGTACAATACAGCACCAATGAAGCACATAACACACTCCTCCAGTTCTTTAATGCTTCCTGCCCACCACTATCATGAACCCAGTTATGCCTTACAAATCCGGCTAGACTAGAGCATGTACGCTGGTAGAGACAAGAGTTCTCGAGACACAGAATGCAAGACAGATAACCCCCTCAGGAACAATAAGGGGAGTAGCGACACTATGGGGTAGGGGGAAAGTGGGGGAAGAAGGGGGAGAAAGGGGGAACCCATCAACGTATAACCCTCCCCACCCCTGACAGGGGGAAGAACAACACAGAATGTGGGTTAAGGGAGAGAGTGGGTGGTGTAAGATATGAAAATAATAATAATTTATAATTTATCAAGGGTTCACAAGAGTGGAAGGTGGGAGAGGGAGGGAAAACAGAGGAGTTGATACCAAGGGCTCAAGTATAAAGCAAATGTTTTGAAAATGATGATGGCAACATATGTACAAATGTGCTTGATACATTTGATGTATGGATCGTTATAAGAGCTGTAAGAGCCTCCAATAAAATGATTTCTAAGAAAGAAAGAAACTGGGTTAAGGGAAGCCATCCAAATACATTTTTTTCATAGAATGTTGGTAATAAATCCTGAGTTTGGCTTCTAGCTAATTATTTAATTGCTCACTGGCAGCTGAGTAACCATATCTAATATGTTCAAAGACTTCTTAAAGTGAGGTCAGGGCACCTGCCTTTTCCATTATAAATGATCTCCAGGCCCCGTGTGATCAGGTCTCAGCACTAATTAGAAGTGAGACTTACATCACTTTCATGACCTTCTCGCAGGTTGTACGTGAGGTCATGCTGAATGTCCTCCACGAATTTGTGAGCATATTCTGGGTAAAGGTCTAGCACTTCAAAGAGTCCTTTGAGGATGATGCACTGGAGATCACAGTAGGTTAAAGCCTTCACATCTGCATTGGTCTTGATCACTTGGTCTTTAATTGACAGGTTTGCTCCAATTAAATCTCCTTTTCCTAGAAAGAGTAAAAGAGACACAGAGAGAGAGAGAGGTAGAGAGAGAGAGAGAAAGGCTACTTTAAAGAAAAGCAAATTTCAGATGTATCATTTCATTTGACTTAGCGGGTTCATGACTGAGATGACATTGTCTAGGGCGGGGTTTCCCCCATTCAGCAGAACTGAGATTGTAAGCCTTACAGGTGCATGTTGTCTGGCACCGCCCTATGGCTGGTGGCAGAGGGGGTTACCTGCGAGTTGGGCTGGTAATGGAAAAGTCAATGATTTGAACCCACCAGTCAGTCTGAGGGGGAGAGATGAAGCCTGCTGCTCCCATAAAGATGTTTAGCTTCTGAGCCCAGTGGGACAGTTCTACGCTGTCCCATAGAATCAACTAGAGGGAAATGTGTGTGTGTGTGTGTGTGTGTGGTGTGTTTGGTCACTACTCATTGTATGCCATTCACATTTCTTGCCCCAAATTTTGAAACTTAAATATGTCTCTAAATATTGCCAACTATCCCTTAGGAGACAAAATTGCCCAGAATTGAGAACCGCTGGTCTGGGGGAGAAAGACTAGCACTTAGAGTTAGGGAATGCAGGCCACTGCTGGCCTCCACATTGTCACGGGATGCAACGCACTTGAGCATTCTGTGACAACTGTCAGCATTTAAGGAGAAAAGAAAAATGGCTCAGAGTTTTCTAAGTATAAAAGTGACTCTTTCTGAGGTCAGAACATGTAGATGTGTATTAATGGTTATAATTCTAGCTCTTTGCATAGAATACAAGCCTGATGTTCCTATCTCTGAACTTGTTCATAAGACGAGGGTCATAAGGGATTCCACTCTCCAGGGTTCAGAAGAAAAGGTAACAACAGTATATTATGGACAATGAAATTTATCTCATAAAATATAAAACACAGCTCAGAGCTCTAATGCCCAATGGCATAGTGAAAGCTTCATTTTTCTCTGTGCACACAGCGTGACTAGAAATGATCAGCTCCTCAGTGGTGCCTCCTCAGGGAGATCAATTCCACTTTCTCCAAGTTTATGTGTCCTACCTGACGTCCAGCTAAATCAAGGGGTAATTTTTCTTCTTCTTTTTTTGTCTACTATACTTCTGCCTACCATGTTTGGGCTGGACTTCAATTGCCAAGGAACTAATTTGTTTCCTGGAGTTCACTAATTAAAAATACTGGAAAATGTACTCAAAATCTTTATCTTTATATGAATCACAATCAAAGTAGTAGGAAGGTGAACCTAGTTATAAATAAGTGCCACCCAAAAGCTGACTTTGGCTTCACTTACTTTAGACACAGACACATCAATTCCCCCAATGCTCATGGAGAAACATTAACGCGAAATCCTTCGGTACTCAGAGAAACCTGGATTGAAGGGTAGAGTCATGTCACCAGGACCACCAAGGGCACTGATGTGGCTCCAACTCAGGAATTTCTGAATCTTTGAATTGTCCTCAAATAGCATCATGTCTCGGATTTAATGTTTAATTTATTATGTTTTATGACCATTCTCTTCCAAGTGAAAGGAACTAACAAATGATCAACGTACAGAACAAAATTATCTGGATCCTAATAAATTTCTAACTTTTATGTTTTTAAATTTCTGTTCTGCCTAGCATTTCTGGAAGCACAGTAATATATGTAGTAGACTTCAATATTAGTCTAAACCAGTGGTTCTCAATCTTCCTAATGCCGTGACCCTTTAATACAGTTCCTCATGTTGTGATGACCCAGTAACCATAAAATTCTTTGTCGCTACTTCATAACTGTAATTTTGCCATTATTGTGAATCAGATGACCCCTGTGAAAGGGTTGTTTGACCCCCAAAGGGGTTGTCACCCACAGTTTGAGAACTGCTCTAAATTGTTAAATTGGACAGTAAAAGGAAACATGCCAAATTAACTATGAATGCATGAGATATTCAAAAATACCTGTAGCAGATCAAGAAGCTGTGGGTTTTAAAAATTACTGAATTATAACCAAGTATTACTTTGGGCATCATGATTATTAAGGAGAGGCTGGAGCAAAGCATGTCCTTTGAACCAAAGACCTGGGGTCTCTGAACCACTGAGAAACTCCTAGACCCCAAGCAAAGACCTGGTATACTGAAGATGGCAGGAGATAGAGACAGTGGGAAAGGCAGAGGGTTTGTTGGTCCATGGCTTTAGGGATGAATGCATTCCGGCAAAAGGGATGCTTGTGAAGCTAAGTGTTGTAAGGGGTGCCAAGAAGGATCCCACGGAAGAGTCTTTCTACATCAAGGTGAGACCAGCTTCCTCTGAGCAGAGGAATTCCACTCAACAGTGGAACTAAGTGAGCTACAGCGCTTGTGCAGGGCAAAGAAGTCCCAGCCAGTGGGGGCCCAAGTAGCCTGGCATCAAAAGATCGCCACAGGCCTAATGTGACTGGAGCTGGTAGCAGAGGCTTAGGAGGGTCCAGCAGCAGAGAAGCAGCCTGGGGAGCTTGGTAGGCATATTAAATAGCATCACAGTAGCCAGGGGCGGTGACAGGAAAGCAGCATCTGACCTCGGACATGAACCAGGGCGCACCTGCCCCGCAACTCAAGAATGGACATGGGCAATCTGAGAAAAGGGGAACACTTCCCTTTTTTGAGACTCTATTAGTATCATTTACTGTTGTCTTTCTATAAATAATAATGGTTTTCACTCTGGCAACACTGTCTGAGGGTCTTGTGGGTCTGACTCCATCCCAGATGAAGGTGGAACCCATGGACTAGTTGATGACAGGAGAGTATGTATCTCATTTCTAGACGTCTATGGTTGCCTGGAAGTTTGAGGCACAGTTGATCAGCATGTACGAGGCAGGCAGAAAGACACACAGGCACATTAGTCATAGAGGCAACAACTATGGAAATAGCAACACAATCTTTCAGAAATCACTACCCTAGAAAGACTTGCCATGTTCACTCCTTCATCTTGATGGAACACGGACTGTGTGTGTTGGACTCTGTGCTGAGGTGACAGCAGGTGCTGGCTCATTACCACAGGCTCCTCACCACCCTGCCTTGTGAGTTTCTAGATTTAGGGCCCTGAGCTAAGTTTCTGAGTAATTGTGGGTTTTAATAGCCTTATTTCTAAAAAAGGAGAAAGATGACTGTGGGCTCTTATAGAGTTTCCGTTTTTTTAGAAATTCTATTATTGATAGTTGCTAATTCATTTTTATTCAAAGGTGGGGAGGGGTTGATGGGTGCATCTGGAAACTGCTCGTGTTAGTGCTATAACTTATGTTTCATTATCATTAGGCAGACTAATACCATCTGTGAAGAGCACGTCTCTTGGTACTTTGCTTTCTTTTGAAACAGTTCTGAAGAAACCACAATGACTTCAACATAAAATGAAGGTGTGAAAAGCATACACAGTCTGTCCCCATAGCAAATCCCTTCTCTTATGATAACTGCTTCTCCAGGCACCAAATGAAGAAGAGTCTTCATGCTCTGGGCAGACAGCACAGTGGCTTGAATAAGTTTATGTCTCAAGAGTTGTTTAGTGGTACTTCTTCTCCACAACATTACATTTTAATTCATTTCATTGGCACAATGTTCTGGATTAATAGTCTACAGATTAAACATGAAACTATGGGTTTAAGCCTTTGAAAGTCAGTATTGATTTGAAGAGGTCTTGCAAGGCATTTCCACAAGGAGTAAGATAATCTCATCGAAAGAGTTAATCACAAAAAGAAAATATTAATATATGATTATCTTTTTGTGTGTGTTTAGTCCTAACAGCACACAGAAGCATTCAAAACAGTCATGTGCAAAAAGAAAATTTTCACAATTTGAATGAAATTCAAATGGAATTAAAAAAAAAAAGGATTTTTCCCACCAATTTTTTGAAGCAACTTTGTACAAGTAGAAGCAAATATGTTAATAATGGAATCAAAGTGTATGGAGGTGATTGGAAAAGATAAGGGATGAAATCTTCCAGCAGTAAGCAGATTTGTTTTAAATAATGAGACTACCTAGTTAAGACATGTATTCAAAAGATGGCAGTCACATAAAAGCCAATAATTCAGACCTAAAATGATGGTGTATTCATATTTTCATTCTTTGAACTGTTTCTAGCTATCAAAGTAAACAAGACACTCTATGATGCAAAAAGGAGCCCTGGTAGCATGGTGGTTATGCATTGGACTGCAACCTGCACAGTCAGCAGTTTGAAACCACCCGCCACTTACTGGAGAAAGATGAAGTGTTCTGAAACCCACAGGGGCAGTTCCACCTGTCTCATGTGGTTGCTATGGGTTATAACTAACTCAATGGCCATGAGTTTCTACTTCCAGAAAGAGTTACAGGCTTCGATTGTGATAAGAGCTGTAAGGTACCCCAATAAAATGATTTATTAAAAAAAGGAAATAATACACAGAGTACCTGTACCAATAAAAACAACAAACAAACTAACTAACTAAAGAGTTACAGTCTTAGAAATGCATAAGGGAGTTCTACCTTGTCCCAGGGATTACTATGAGTCAGAATCCAGTCGATGGCAGTGAGTTTTTTGAGATTCTGCAAAATATGTATATATAGCTGTTTAAAATGTTTATATGTTGTTTACATTCACTCTGCTTACATATGTATTCAGCTGTAAACTTCTGGGAAAATAACTAGATGCCCTTGCAAAAGCAGACTATGTTAAGAGGCTGCTATAAAACTTAGAGTCGTCCTAAGGAAATCTGCAGAGAAATATTCTTGATTAAAGTTTTTGAAGAAAATTTATGAATAATTAAAACTTAAATTTAGAATCACAATATGATAGAATGATTGGCCTCTGACTTGAGAAGAGGGAGGGAAAATCTCCTCTTAAACAAAAGAAATGTGGCGGGCTTTCCATGTCTTTTTAGTCAGGAGAAAAATCTGAGGCGGTGAGTCAAAGACTGCGCCAACACTGGGCTTGGCAAGTCCTGCCTTCCCTCTGAGAGTGGTAGCTGAGGCAACATGCCTCAGTGAAAACACGGGGGCCTTGCATCATTCATTCTGCCCACCTTTTCCGCTTTCAATGGAGGGAATCATACACGTCTTATCAGGTGACAAGCTTGGAACCAGATCTATGGACGTAAAACACCTAGGTCTTATGAGGGATCCAATAAGTATCAGTTCACTTCTCTCTTCCAGGGTGATGTGTGCTGAGGCTTACAGGCCAGAACCAGTGAGAGTAGTCTCACAATGATTCTAGAGGGCAGCAGTTCTCAATCTGTGAGTCACGACCCTTTTGGGGGTTGAATGACTCTTTCACAGGGGTCGCCTGATTCATAACAGTAGCAAAATTACAGTGATGCAGTAGCAACGAAAATAATGTTATGGTCGGGGGGTCAGCACAACATGAGTAACTGTATGAAAGGGTCGTGGCAGTAGGAAGGTTGAGAACCACTGCTCTAGGGTGTAGGTACTGTTGAGATGGGGGGAGAGCCCTGGAAGCAGAGTCAAATACCTACCTGACCTCACTTAGTCTGAGTCGGCAGAGAAAATACAATCCTTGTCTTCCGTCACTTGTGTGAATAAATGTTTAAATGAGACAGCACATGTGAAAAATGCTTTTAAATGGTCAAGCTGTTTATTAATATTAGGTTATTATATGGGATAATTAAAATAAGCAAACTTTGCTATACTAGTCCCTTTTCATTAAGACAAATTGCAAACATTGAAGTAGAATTTCTTGTAGCACATCATGTTGAGTCCCCCTTCAAAGAGTCCAGAATTCCTCTGCCTCATTTCTCCACTGCTATCAGTAGGTCCGAGAGCCCATCTGCTATCTCTAAGTTTGAACACCATGGGAAAAGGATTTTAGCTACTTTCTTTCTCACTGTTTGGAACTCTTATTGCATCACTAGTAGGGTCTCAGTAAGTCTTACTAAAATATTAGGTGTTTAATTAGCTAGATAAATGAATAGAAGTGATTTTTAAGAATCACATATAAAATTGTGGATGGGAGTTTTTTTCTATTTTGAATCACAATGCCATTTTTGGCACCTCTTTTTATATTTAAATTAATAGCAATTATGATCTGATATTTGGAGTCAGCTTTATGGTACACAATCTTCTTGAATTACCTGTGAGTTTTATGTGAGGAAGTAAAAAGTATGCTTATAGTCACCTTGGCAGTATTGGTTGATGACTGCTATGAAAGCTTATTGGGAATATAGTCATTTTCCTCTATTTCTATCACAGATTAAACTTAATTTTTATAAATTTGTCTGAACTGATGCTCTGTAAAAATGCATAAGCTACTTCTTAAAAGTGATCAGGTATTTCACCATGAAACAGTATACATTGTCGTTATTAATCTGAGCCTGAAAATCAGTAAGAAAGGGGTTCATTTTTAAACTATGGGATTTGGGGAAAATTAAGGTACTATTCTTTCAGCTGTATTATAAGGGTAATATTTATACTATTGGATTTTTATAAAAAGAATCAAATGCTATATCGGATATAATACTTATCACAGTATAAATTCAGTGAGTGGCATGATGGTAATGATAATAATATTAGTAATAGTTGATGAAGTCATCATTTTCATTCAATAGTTCTGGATTTATAATCCTGCATGATGAATCATTTTGAACGCACATATTTATCTCTAATTTCCCTACTCTCAGTAGCAGATTTTGTTTTTCCATATTATCTCTTTAACTTGTTTCTCCAGATAAATAAAAATCCAGAAACGCCTTTGAACTTAGACATACCGAGAATAGCCAGCACCATGCTGTCTTTAAGAACTTCCATAGAGCCAGAGCACACGAAGTAGATGGCCTGCAAAGCATCTCCTTGTCGCAGCAGGTACTCCCCCGGAGCACAGAAGGAGGTTTTGATGTGAAGAGACAGAGACCTGAGGCAACCCCGACTGGCACACTCAAAGAGGGACAACTGTAGGATCTCCTTGTTCAGGTGCATGGTGATATCAGATCGCAGCTCATCTGGGAAATCTTTCAAGAGCTGTCAAACGAGATGAAGGACAAAAGCAAGTTGGGGTCAGTAGAGACGAACTGATTTACTTTTGAAGAAATCAGGGATGCTTTTCCTATTGTTTGGCCAACTGATGTGCAGAGGAAGCAAACATTGCTACACATTATCCTGAAGAGAAATTTTTCAGTTCTTGCAACTCTGTGCTCATCAATAATCAGGTAGTGATAAAACTCAAGAAACAGACTAAATCAATAAAATAAATAAAAGCTTCTAGAATCAAAATACATATAACTCATCGTGGTTTGTTTCTCATACACTGCTACTCAGGACAGAAGCTGTGATATTTCGGGCCACTGATGTTTCCTCTGGAGCCGTGATCGGATGACGAAAGGAGAACCCAATAGTCTCTTCTATAAATGTTGGTTGCGGGGCTGGCTGGTGGAGTGGCTGCTTGATATGCTAAGTTTTGAAGTTGTGATTTAGGACATTTCATGAAGTCCATAGCTAAGATCTTGCAGGACAAAGAAAATATATATATTTATCTATTTGCGAACTTTGTTGATATTAAAGATAAATGTTACTTTACTTACTCAAACACTAGCAGTCCTTGGGTTATGAATGAGATTTGTCCCGAAGTGTAACTTTAAGTGGAATGTATAGGTAAGTCTGAGCAGGTGCACACAATTCTTACTTAGCCTTACTTAAGTGCAAGAAAAGGTTGTAAGTCCTTTCAATTGTTTAAAAGCTGCTCCTGCAGCAAGTGAAGGTGACTGTGGTCGTTTGTTGCAGGTCGGGTTTAGTTCAATCATTTCAAAATGAGGACAAATTTACATAGCTTTAAAGGGCAAATACAATTTGTTCATAAATTGGATGTTCATAATTCAAAGATTTAGACCAACCAACATCCCATAAGAACTGCCTCCTTCAAATGACTCAAGTAAAACAAAAGTCCACCTTACAGACTAATGTAGCACATTTGTGTCAGAAATTGGTACATTCAAAGAGGCACTGTGAAAAACATAAGGCCAAAACAGGTCACAGGGAATCCAGGACAGATGACTCCTTCAGGACCAGTGGTGAGAGGGCGATGCCTGGAGGGTGGAGGGAATGTTGGGGTAGAAAGGGGGAACCTGTTACAAGAATTTAAGTATTGCCTCCTCCCTGGGGGATGGACAGCAGAGAAGAGGGCAGAGGGAAACATCAGACAGGGTAACTTATGACAAAACTATAATACTTTATGAACTATGAAGGGTTTATGAGGGAGGGGGGAGGGAGGGAGAAAATGAGCAACTGATATTAGGGGCTAGAGTGGGAGGCAAATGTTTTGAGAATGATGAGGGCAACAAATGTGCATATGTGCTTGACACAATGGATGGATGGATGGATTGTGATGAGAATTGTACGAGCCCCCAATAAAATAATTTAAAAAAATTTGGACTGAACTTCCTGGAAGATTAAAAATAATTGTAAAGAGGAAAATACATTGATCAGCGTGTCCCTTATTTCTGAGGCCTACATTAAAGAACTCTGCCTTTCACTTAGAATCTATCTTCTCTGCCTGAAAAGCTCCGCCTGAGAAATGCACATTACCTCATTGGAATCTATTCCATTGTTGACTGACCAGGTGGTCTGGAAGTATTCCAGCATCCTCTGTTTGAGCTGCTGGGGCAGATGATGGACACGGATGAAGTCCTTCAGCTCGGTGGTCCTCGTGTGATAGAGGGACCATCTGGAGTACATCCTCTGAATGATTGCAGTCACATTTCCAAACACCAAGGCGTGCATCAAGGCTAGCGAGCAACACATAAAGGGAGAAGAGTAAGACAGGGAGCCCATCTCTTATTCTCAGTGTACAGTCTACCTGTTCTGGATCAGAGCAGAATACCTGTTCTGGATCAGAGCAGAACATGCTTCTGTGGGCAGGCCGATGTCACAACTTCGGTGTGGGCATTTTGCTGCGCTACTCTGTTCACAGAATGTACCCTAATGCAATTATTGTGATTCCAGATGGCATCATCAGAGTAAAAAAAGGTCTTAAAATTGCTCAATGACATTATGCTGAGTGAGATAAGTCAACCACAAACGGACAAATATTGTCTGAGCCCATTCATATTAATAAATCAAGAAAAGGTTTACACACAAAAGAAACATCTTTTGATGATTGCCAGGGATGGATGGGGAGGGAACATCACTCCCAGGAGAGTAGATAAGTATTAACTTAGATGAAGGGGAAGCATCATATGAGCTGAGCAGGTATAGATGGATTCACAGGACTACACCCATGAACATATACAAGTCTGGCAGAGGGTATTCATATGTATATTTGTGTATGCACTGCAGCTGCAAGTATATCCATGCATGTAGTAGAACAAACAGGGAGCAAAATCAAACCGTCTTAGCTTTAACCAAACACTCGAGAGAATAAGCCATGGTCTCAGGGGCATCTAAATCAACTAACATAACATCCTTCATAAAGACAGTGTTCTCTCTCCTCTTGTGGTAAGTTGCAACTGGGGTCATGCAAGTTAGCAAGTGGCCATCTATGGTGCAACTATTAATCTCTCCCTACCTAGATCAAAGATCCAAGGAAACAATTAGTCCAAAGGGCTAATGGACCACACAAACCACAGCCTCTAATACCCAGTGATTGGAAGACCCAGATGCTGCCCAGCGTCTATTACAGAGTGCTTTGATTGGGACCAGGGAAGGCCCTGAAAAGAATGGTGAGCACAATCCAAAAATCACAAAGAAGACTAGAGACTGGTAGCACTCCTAAGACGGTGGTCCTCAGAAATCCTTCAAACCTGGCCTTGAACCTAATCTCAAGGAATCACCCAACAATATAGAGGTCTATAAAGTAAACAAGGATACTCTGAGGAATATACTCCTCACAACAATGGATCATAGGAAACCCAAAGATAGCATTTGGCCCCAAGCAAAGCTCAGAAGGCAGAAAGGGGCAAGAAAGAAGGATGAATAAATGTAAGGAATCCAGCAGGAAGTGGGAAGTCTTATTAGATTGAGCGAATTGCAACGAATATTACAAAACAAAATAATTAAAACTCTCCAACAAAATAAACAAACAAAAATATTCTTAGTGATATGCAAAATAGGACCCTTGGAGATACACTTGAGCTCTTTGTTATGTTCTGTTTTTCATGATTATTTTTAATATTTCCTTTTACTCAAATCTGTGTTGCGTTAAGAGTTACAGGTGATTTTCTTATTTTTATGATTGTAACAAACACATGAAAGAGTATACGATGACTGATTATCCTTTATAGAAATATTAGTATCACCCTCCCCTAAAAAGCATCACTTAAAGTAGTTTTGGAATATGCACTTATATTACCTATTTCAGGTTATCTCATTCTCCTAATAAAAGTATTAACAAAGTTATTCGATGAGAAATCTGGGATTCTCTAAGTAGTCTGAAACTGAGATTAATATGGCTTAAATATATTCTCACACCAAACTAGATTCTTAGTGTCTTTTAAGAAAGGTTGAGACACTGACGATTCAAGAGCCATATGAATTTACAGGAAACAAAACCAACACTAAAAAACCAGTTATCCTGCTGAGTCACTGTTTCTATCCTGAGGAGAGCCAGCGGGCTGCGTTCATGATTCCTCTTTTGATGAGGTCTGTGAGCCAGACAATTCACACTCCCCGAATCCACCATGCAGTGTAATGAGAGAGACGTTGTCCCCAGAATACAAGTCTATGATTTGCATTCTTCTGGAGGTAAGTAAAATGTGAGGTTGAACTTCCTTTATGAGGAGTTCACTATTGTGGGATATGATTATGTCTTTTGAAATCAGAGAGAGGCATGATAGAATTTTGGACTAAATAGTCATTAGCAGATTTTGAATGACAGAAGCAGATTTAGCAGCTATCGAAAACAAGTCTCCGAGCCATTTGGGGCTGGGAATCTGAGAGCAGAGTGAAGGTCAGGTGTACTTATATTTATAGGCAGGTGAAATTCAAGTGATGCCCAGATTTTTCCCTATCCCCATTCAGCGGACAGGCTTAGCAATGAGGTAAGAAACCCAACAATTGGCATAACTCATCTGTTTCAGTAGTTTTTCATTAAAGCAAATAAGAAAATGAAATATTTAGTAGTTAATCTATTAGAATCTATCAAAACATCCCTGCTCCAAAACCTCAAAGTCAAAGGAATTTTGATAACAAGTCTGTTATTCCTAAAATGAATCAGTAGGACTGTGTCCGCATACTATCATGTCTACCCTTCTGAGTGTTTCAAGATCATCTCAATTTAAACTTTTAAAAAATTTATATTTATAAAAAAGTAGCAAACATCAATGTATAATCGAACCAGACACTGAGATTAATCTTCATCAGGTTACACACTCACATGCACACCATCATTTCTCTATGAAAAATATGGCCACGAATCTCATAAAGTTATCCCTCTCATAACAAGATCTTCAGTATTTTAGAAAAGTCACTAGAATAAGGTGTGAAATAGTGACTACACTTCAGGGAGAAATATAATGTTGCCAAAGTATATGAGCTTCAGCATCAAACAGGTCTGAAACTGAACCCTGAATTTGCAGCTTCCTAATTATGTAAACTTTAAAAATTACATAATTCCTTTATGTGAACTTGATTTTCTTACACTTTAGGCAAACATAATAGTGCCTTGCTATAGAACTGTTTCAAGATTTAAAGATATATGTTTTTGTTTTGTTTTAAGAGTAGATTTTTATTTATTTAAAAAAATTTAAATCATTAGGGGCTCATACAACTCTTTTCACAATCCATACATGCATCAATTGTATGAGATGATATATGTTTTTAAAGTGATTCAAGTACATGTGGAAACAAGGAGTGCTTATTGTTCTATTAAGTTTTCCCAAGAGTGTGAAATGTGTAATGAATTTTCATACTGCTCAGCATCCTGTGATTGGAATACAATTTGGGGTATAGGACCCATGTTTAAGGTATTTCAGCAGCCATTCCTATAGAATTGTTCTTGTTGGAAATCACTTCTTGATTAAAGAGATTCAAGGACTATCCAACAAGTGCACGAGACATGCAAGCCAGGAGCCGTGGTGGCACAAAGGCCAAGTGCTTGGCACCTCTCCAAAATGTAGTGGTTCTAATTTACCCAAAAGGCTCTGGGGAGAAAGACATGCTGGTCTCCTGTAAAGAGTACAACCTAGAAAACTCTATAGGGATGCTTTACTCTGTCCTGTGGGACCATTATCTATGAGTTGAAAATCAAATCAGCAACTAAGAACCATAGTAACATTTGTAAGCATATTACCGCGCAAATATATATTATTGCAAAGTGCTAAGAAATGAAGCATCTCCTGACAGGTCAAAAATAGCGCAGACAAAATGCATAATGCTAAACAATTTATTGTTGAATGGTTCTGAGGAGATTCCAGATAAAGTTTCATTTTTCTATATAATTTTTGAAGCACACCATTTCTGATGCTGTAATATTTTACTTGGAAGAGAAGACACCTGTTTATGATAAACACAAGCCCCCCCAAAATCGATTCTGCTCCAAGTCAAAGAAATTAAATACCAATTTCAGGCTCCGTTAATATACTTATGGGCTGAATGTTTTAAAAATCCCTACCATCTTTAAAAGTGTGTAATAGTCCTTTCAGGGAGATTAAGCTGAGCATTGAGAACAATTTTATTCCATTTATTTTAACACTGCTTTCCTTAATTATGTGTATGATTTTAACTTTGCTTTGCTTCATTATAATCTGTGTAAAGCACTTAAAGTAAGAGAAGTAATATGTTCAGATCATTTAGCATCCTAATTGTATATTATCAATAAAATGAATTACTGGGTTAATTGTAGCATTCATAAGTGCTGTTGGGAAGTACTGTCCTATGTCTGAGTCGCCATAATTTCCAGGTCTCATTTCAGCATAAGAGAAGACTTCTCATTTAAGTCCTGCAGTGGAAAAATTAAGCACCAGCTCACAGAGATTTTAATTTTCCAAAATTATTATGGCCCCTCTGTCACTGGTTATAATGTTCACTCTGGCAGAGTGTGTGTGCTACTGTCAAGACAATCATCCCATCTGTCCCGAAAGTTTGACTCAAGAACTTTCATATCCAGGTCAGTTTGGAAAATATCATTCACCTTCCTTTTGACTCCCAGCAATTTTGAGGTATCAAATGCTTGAAGTTTCAAGCTAGGCTTACTGACTGTGTGGGAGGCTCTTTTTCTGTGTGTCGCAGTTTTGAAGAAAATGAAGTTCTGTAAAATCTGACCACGAGGTGTGGAAGGGATCAGTTATCAGACATCAAAGAACTGAAAATCATATCAGTGGGTGCCCGCTTTACTGACACAACCACTGAAAATAAATGTGTGCATAAGCAAATGTGGTGAAGAGAGCTAATGGTGCCTGGCTATCAAAAGATATAGCATCTGGTGTCTTAAAGGTTTGAAGATAAACAAGCGGCCATCCAGCTGAGAAGCATCAAAGCCCACATGGAAGAAGCACACCAGCCTGACTGACCACGAGGTGGCAGAAGGGACCAGTTATCAGACATCAAAGAACTAAAAATCAGATCAGTGGGTGCCCACTTTCCTGATACGATCACTGAAGACAAACATGTGCATAAGAAAAGGTGGTAAAGAAAGCTGACGGTGCCAGGTTCTCAAAAGATATAGCATCTGGGGTCTTAAAGGCTTGAAGATAAACAAGTGGCCAACTGGCTCAGAAACAACAAAGCCCACATGGAAAAAGCACAACAGCATGTGTGACCACGAGCTGTCGAAGGGATCAGGTATCAAGCA